GACGACCTTCCTTCGTATCAACCTGATTTGAAGTTCGGTGACCCACGAAGCGCATTGACTGTATGCTCTGGCCTTGTCACAGAAACCGAAGATGCCCCGGAGTATCGGAAACCGCGAAGTGTAGTAAAGCTCGCTCATTTCTCCGTGAAGGAATATCTCATATCCGATCGCATTAGGATGGGAGCCGCAGCAGGCTTCGTTATCGGCGAGCGCATATCCCATTCTGCCATTGCTCAAATTTGCCTTACATATCTAGCCCGTTTCGACAAACTGGACTCCATCACAGACGCCAATAAACACATTTTCGCTCTTGCTACCTATGCGGCAAAATACTGGTCCCATCACCATCAATATGCTTCTGTTGCTCCGACGTTGTTACTGAATCTATTTTCCACTCCGGATAGCTATGCTCTTGTAAACTGGGTTCGACTAAACGATCCAGACTATCCCTCGCTCCATCCTAACCTCAAGAAATCGGTTGACCTTATCGCTCATCCTTTATATTATGCCTCTCTACTTGGCGAGAGCGTAGTCGTGAATCATCTCCTCCATATGGGGGTGAATCCGAATACTCTGGGTGGGCTTCATGGAACGCCCTTACAAGCTGCAGCTTATAGAGGACATACCGTAATCACGGATACGTTGCTCCGGCATTCTGCTGATATCAATACCGAGGCTGGAGTTCATGGCACCGCCCTACAGGCCGCATCGTCACAAGGCCACACTAAAATTGTCAGGCTATTGCTCAGTAAGCTTGATGTTGCCACCCTCCGAGGAGGAGGGTTTTTCACTGCACTGCATGATGTATGGAATAAACCTGAGATTGCGAAGCTGCTTATGGAAGCTGCCGCCTCGGACGGTCCTCTGGCGGAGGAATATGATCGATATATCACGCCTGTTCCTAAAGCAAGTCATCTCCCATTTCAACTGCTTGTTGATCTGCACTTACCCTAAGTCGATCAGGATTTAACCAACGAGATCAAGCCCGACGAGCACTACTTTGCGTATGGAGGTATGCCTACGACATGCACCCGTGCATCTACTCGATACGACTAAGCTTCCCGGTGTTAGCTTACTCGGAGGTTTATGGAGGTGATTGGACAGATGCATCCACCGGGAAGGTGACTAGGGTACGGCTGTCACGTCCTGTCAAGTGTATTCGTTTATATAGACTCACTGCGCTCGTCTTTCAGGTCGCGATCAAATGTCTGCGAGGAGTCACCAACAATGAAGAAGAGCTTGAAAAGAGCAGAAAAGTAAGTTGCCCTTGTATAGCCAGCTATTCCTCTAGCGACTTAGCGACATCACGAAATCAGAGACTGCTCCGCGAAATAAGGGTGTGGGTGCCACTCGAACATCCTAACATCACCCCTTTCCTTGGAGTTGTGAATGGCTTCGGGCCGCTTCCTGCTATGGTTTCTCCTTACTATTCGAAAGCGAACATCAATCAGTACACACTGGACAATCCGGACGTAGACAGGCTCCCGCTGGTGAGTTTTTTCCATTGTTGTTTGGCATGGCAAGTCAACTGACGCAAAAGAATCGCATATAGATATTGGGTGTTGCCAGAGGCCTCAAATATCTCCATTCTTTAGGCCTACTCCACGGGGATCTTAAAGGGGTGAGTCTCCATTCATTCTATATGTCTTGAAACTTTCGTCTTACTGTTCGCGTGAATAGCACAATGTCCTCATTGACGACGATCTATCCCCTCGTCTCGCTGATTTTGGGCGATCTAGGATCGTAGAGCGCAGGGGCTTCACCACCGCATTTACTGGTACTGGACGATACATGGCCCCAGAGCTCACTGTTATAAACGATGACATTTCATACACGTCACCAACCGCAAACAGCTCCGAAGACGATACGCTGTCCAGCGAAACTACTGCGATATTAGACCCGCTCATAACAAAAAAGAGTGACGTTTACGCGTTTGCTATGGTTGTAATAGAGGTATGCATACGACTGACTTCATTTACCACCCCTTCCGTGAAACGGATGAACTAACCGCGGTCTTTCAGATCTTGACGTCCAAGCTGCCGTTCTTCTACCTCCGCCAAGAGCACGTCGTTGTGATTCTGACACAAGATGGCAAGCGGCCAGATCGCGTGCGATGCTTGCCTACCCACTTTGCTGATGAGATTTGGCAGTTCATGGAGGATTGCTGGCATCACGACCCGCAGGCCCGACCGGAGATGGATGCGGCTGTTCCGCGTCTTGAGAAGATGCAATCTAACAGATTGAGGGTTGCCTGGGAGGAGGTTGTCTCTGTTCCTGTCCCCGGCAGTGCAACCAAGCCGTAATTATCGTTTATGAGGGAGGGTGGGAGGGACGAGAAAGAGTGAAATGGGTCGTGCAATTCGAATGCATTTGAGGCCATAGTGTCAAGGGGCGACGCCGGCCAAGTCGGGAAAACATTGAAATCCAAACAAACGAGGGATTATTTATGATCAATGTGTTGCGTGAGTATGTATTTTTAGAATGTGTATGAATGAGCTCATCCAACCCATCTTGTCCCTAGACCACACCAATCCGGTCGGGCGCCGCTGAGCCTCGCACAATGGTTCTTTCCACGACCTACATGATCAAATCGCACACTGGCCAGCCTTGTCAGTTCCTTATGCCATTCGATCCGCACAAATATGAGTGGCATTGATGCACTTAAGCGTCATCCCATTAACACAAAATGCGATCTACCCTAGCACTGCAACGATAGAGTTAGATCCGCGCCAGTGTATCCACCATCTCGTCCCTTCTGCAACGAGGTTCGATAGCACGCTCTGAAGTGCAGCCCACTCTGATTCGCGTCTTTGACCCTTGTGGCTTCGGAGACCTTGGAGAATCGCGCGTGACAGGTGAAGGTGGCTAGCCGATTTCGTGTTCAGCAAGTAACTGGACATTATAATCATCAGTTTCTTTGTATGAATCGCAATAGTAGGCAGAGGATCTGCACCATATTGGGTATACCGTTTGAGATCGGATAGACGTGAGCACAGTTAGGGCAAGTCATTGTCCCCTCTTCGACGTGGATCTGCAAGGTACACGTGTAAACCATGTTGAGATTCTCGCGGTATGGTATTACTCCGAGAATCTAAAACGCACCTCAAGTAGAACATGGTGTAATGTCTGTAAGAACTCTTCGTCGATCATCTCCGGTGTTTCGGCCGGCAAAGACGTGTCTCCAAGCTTTCACATCGATCCTCAGTCATTCTTATTCTAAAAATCGCATTAAATAAGAAACAAGAGTATTCACCTCCCTTGCCGCGCCCACCAGCGCATTCCAATCAATCTTGGGCAAAAAGCCGCGCAGAAAATCGGGGTTCATCTCCGCCTCCCTCAGCTCGATCTGCACGTCTTTAAACGCCAGCGGGAAGTTGTTCGAGGTGCACCCTTTGACATGACATGCTAGCAAGTTGTGTGTGATGAGTCGAACCATGGCCGTCGAAGTGGTAGAAGAGAAAGACAGAGATCGAGAGCACGCCGGTGTTTGTACTCCCGATTGTTTTTGTGATGAGACCGCCATCACCCTCGCTTCCAGAACGCGAATTTCTCTTGCAAGCCCTCCACCAGTCTCTCAGGCTAGATGGACGCGCGATGCTTGAGGCGCGTACGCCGACGCTGACTTTCGGACCCGAGATGGGCTGGGTCGACTGTCAGATGGGCAAAACCAGGCGAGTACCGTCTGCAAAGCACAAACCAAATAAAAGCTGACGCAGAGTCTGTTGGGTTGGGCTAGAGTACTCGCGCACACGACGGCTACAATGGTAAAGCCCCAACCTGAAAGACCGCTCGAAGGCACGATCACGATCCATTCGGAGATTTCGCCCATGGCGAGCAGCGCGGGCGAGTACGACAGCGGGCGGTGAGTAAGTGTGTTTTCATTCACAGTACATTCACATGCACAATCCTTCTCCGTGGTGCGTATTGAGACTGATTGGTGTGACAGGCCTTCGGATGAGGAGATCACCATTACGCGTATGCTGGACAAGGTCGTCCGGCGAAGCGACGCGGTCGATAAAGAGTCGCTCTGTATTCTTGCTGGTGAACGGGTTAGCACCACTTCTCTTCTCTTCTCTCATAGTACATTGACTGACTATTATTTAGGTGTGGGCATTGCGGTTGACCATTCATTGCCTTGCGGACTCCGGAAACCTCCTCGACTGCGCGTGCTTAGCAGCGATTGTCTCACTGAGACACTTCAGAAGACCTGATGTAGAGGTTATCGGAAGTGATGTTACAGTTGTGCGCATTTTCAAATCTTCCATTCGCCTATCATTCGGTTATCTAATGTACACCTGTTGCAGCACGCGCCGACAGAGCGTGCCCCCGTGCCACTGTCAATCCACCACACCCCTTTCTGCAATACATTTGCCTTCTTCCCGCCCTCTCCCAGCTCAATCGCCGCTCAAGATTCTCAAGACCCATTATCCTCGCCACTGCAAATACCCATCCTCGATCCGTCGCATCTCGAACAGCGCCTCTGCACAGGCACGCTCTCCATCGCGCTCAATGCACAGCGCGAGATATGTGTGCTGCAAAAGCTGGGAGGTGTGCCTCTGGGGGCGGAAGAGGTTTTACTTGCGGTTGAGGTTGCGGTGAGGAGAGCAAAGGAAATGAATGAATGGGTAGATGGGAGGCTAAGAGAAGATTGGGAGGGACGGAAGGGGAGTGTGGAGGTCAGATGAGGGCATGTTCTGGCCCATTTCTTGGTGAAGCAACACGCCTGTCTGTTAGATGAATCTGCAATACGCCGTTGCTGTACTTAAAATTACGGTTGCACATCAGCGCTTGAGCTTGGCGGCAACTTGGTGCTTTGTTTGTTGATGAGTTCCATGAGGCCTACACTTGGCATGCATGTGTGTTTCTGACTTGATATGATATATCGAGGTCTTGGCAACCGGGGCCCATGCAGGTCTCATCTATGTACCTGAAAGTTTGCATGATCACTGAAATTTGAATGAAAAACATATCCTTCGCGCAACGCGAAGGATCAAAAGTAATTCCCGAACGGGGAATTGAACCCCGGGCTGCCGCGAACCAGTTATGAATGAGAGGCGGCAATGTTAGCCACTACACCATTCGGGAGATGAAATGGTGATCCCGTGTGCCACCAAGTACAGTCACAAGCAAGAAGGAACGTGCCACCATAGCTTATTTTACATAAGCACCCAGTGACACATGCGTTGTTGCGCTCGACTCTCGTTTGCGTCTCGTACGGTTTCGATCGCCCATTCTCACTTCGTCCCGACCCACAGAATCGAGCTCCCGGCTTCCTTCTAGAGCTCCTGGCGCTCGTTAAAGTTACTCCCAACTTTGATGGCTTGCTATATTTGACTGTCACATTCGCGAGAACTCTCTCATCCATTCACTGATTTCATGTGGCAAGCAGCTTGCAAGGCACCGACCCGGCCATAAAACCGCTTATGCCCACTTTCTTCCAGCCGTGGCAATCGGTCGCAGCTTCTGTTTCAACGTCAGATGTCCATATGGCGCGCTGTCTCTCTTCGAGATCGTGTCACTTTGAAGTGTTGCCGCCCCCGATTACACTCCGGTCAGCCTGATCCATTCCATTTTGTCCAGGCCCGGCTTGTAACAGCTGGCATTATATATCAGCAGACTCTCAGATCCGAATAACACCCACGGCCAGAGTGTATAAGACTGACATGTACATTTTGCTTGCGCTCCCACTTGCAAAATGTTCTCAGTGCGACTCTTTCTCGGGTTGCTCATTTTTGCTGCGTCATTCAAAGGGAGCATTGCTGTTCCTGCTCCACGGGACTTGCGTGCAACTCTGGCATTATCGAACAGATTTCAAACCACTGGCCATGGGAATATCGCCGATGCTGACCGGGCGCGTGTGAGAACTCTGAAGTCACAGGGCTCCTTTGCAAAAAACCACAAGCGCGCCACGTCGATTCCGGCCAGCAATGTAGCCGTAAGTACATTCCTAATACAACACCGCCTCCGCCGATAGTTGATCCCAGGTGTAGGTCACGTACACCGCAAATGTCGGCGTCGGCAACCCTGTAACAAATTGTCGGTCTCCAACGCTGCCTCGAAGATTATTGATTATTCTAAAAGATCGGCTCGCTTAGATACCCTACTCATCGATACCGGGTCTTCGAGCACTTGGATTGGAGCCGGTAAAAGCTATGTACAAACCAGTACGAGTGTGAGCACTGGCAGGAACGTTTCCGCCGCATATGGTACCGGAAATTATTCGGGAACAGAATGTGGCTATTTCTCCCTCTTCTTTGGGGTACTAGAATGCTTACAGGTTTGGCACAGATTTTGACACCGTCACACTGTCTTCTGGACTTGTCATCCGGAATCAAAGTATCGGCGTTGCATCTATCCACAACGGTTTTGCCGGTTATGATGGTATTCTCGGGTACACTGAACTCGAAATTGTATTTGGAAGATTATTCTGACCGACTGTAAAATTTAGGATCGGGCCGGTTGATCTCAATGACGAACTCGTATCGGGCACGTCAACGGTGCCTACCGTAACGGACAATCTCCACGCTCAAGGAACAATAAGCACAGAGGAAATCGGCGTTTTCTTCGCTCCCGGTGAGTTCCCTCATCATATTTCATATAACGGCGCTCACAAAGAGGCAAAAATTATAAGTACTCGCTTTCACCAGTGGAGAAATGACGTTTGGCGGAGTGTGAGCTAGTTCGCCGAGCCTGACCGAACATGCTAAGATTCTCTAACACGGTCCTGATAGCGACTCTTCGAAGTATACCGGGCCGATAACCTACACGCCTCTAACCACCACGTATCCTGCTGCGTACTATTGGGGAGTGAACCAATCCGTCGCCTACAACTCTGTTACTATCCTGTCTTCTACCGCTGGCATAATTGACACGGGCACTACTCTCGTCCTTCTTGCCACCGAAGCCTATAACGCTTATTTGCAAGCTACAGGCGCAGTGCTCGACTCGGCCACGGGATTCTTAATGATCACCTCGGCGCAGTATAGCGCGCTGAGTGATCTGGACTTTATCATCGGAGGAACGACCCTGACATTAAACCCAAACGCGCAGATTTGGCCCAGATCGCTAAACGTATTAATTGGCGGAAGCAACAGTTCTATATACCTCATTATCAATGATGTGGGTGCCCTTGGTGTCACATGTGCTCTTGTGCGTGCGATGTTGTGAAGTAAGACTGATCCTCTTTTCTATCTCAGTTGGGGTCAAACAGTGGCGAAGGCCTGGATTTTACCAATGGCTACACGTTCTTGGAGCGATTCTACAGCGTGTTCGATACAACAAACAGCCGGGTTGGATTTGCCAGTACAGTCTATACAGCCGCCACCATCAACTAGGGACCAGGGTGCAAGTTGATATCCGGACCTTGCGTAGAGGGTACAAGAGCGACTTGAAGGTAAATGTCCACGCTTTTACCTTCCTTCCACCATGCGATATGAATGCACACGTTTGAACAGGTGCAATCATCATTATGTGTAGATCTGATGTAATTGTACAGGTTGCTGCCAACCTTTACGGTGTATATGGATTGTCTCGGAGCCAGATCGGATGCATGAGCGCTAAACAAAAATTGATGGTCCATTACCACTGTAGGCAACTGTAGGCCAATGTAATCTGCACCAAAGCAAGTTTATGGAAGTCCATGTTGATCAATTAAAGTGCTAAGAACCGCCTCACTGAGGCTGGTGCACTGTCTTTTGTTCATGTATTATAACTTTTATCAGGAGTCTCAGCCGATCCGCTGTCCCGCTCGGAATTTGTACCAGGACCCCGGACAATGTCTCAAAAAGTCCCTTTTGGGCTATTTCCCGTTGGGCACCACTGCCACCACATTTGGCTCAAGCCGTCCGTAGACGTCGGGATTGCGATCGGAAACAAGTAGGTTTTTTGGCCCTTCCGCATTTTGCTTGCATTTTGCATCGGACTTCGGTGGCGACCAAATCCGGCCGCATAAGGCTTTGAACCTCACAAGCGGGCCAAGGTTGGACTTGAATTGGGAATTTGGAGCGTCAGCAAGGTGAAGAGAATGGGTGTGGCGGGTAGATGCACAAAACTTGGGCAATCCAACTCGGCACGCGCTGCAGACGTTCACTTGTCCCGTGACAGCCGTGGCGATGCTAGTACATTATACATAAGGAGCAGTGGCGCGACGCACCTCCGAGTCGCGCACACGCCGCGCTGGGCGTCCGCATACCAGATTGGACCTGTGCACCGACACGGCTCCCGTGTCATGTAAAAGATTGCACCTCCTGGAAATGGACTCGGAGGCCCCCTCGCGTTAGTGTTGCCGTGAAGTGAAATGAAGTCGCTCTGAAGCCTCAAAAGGTGTCACTTCAAGTCACTTCAGAGTGTACTGAAGACGAAGTGGCTCTGAAGCGCTCTGAAATCCTTCGCCATCTCAATGAGCTTCAATGAGGTAGAATTGCCAATTCAGGGCAGCCGCCACAAGAAAGCAAATCATGATGCATTCGCGATGATACATAACGGATCGGAGTAGAAACTTCCTGATTAATAAAATCCATGAGCCTTGCCATGTCTAAACAAACCACACAAGTGCCTTGCGCGACCTCCCCTCGAATGGCAATTCAAGCAACTCCGCCTCCTGTGCAACCCCACCCGGTTGAGAAGTCAAACCTCCTGTTTCGTCTGGTATTTTAGAATACCGCTGCACGGATGAAAGTCGAACGCCTTATGGCTTTATTGGAGATTGCTGCACCGAAAAGACAGTTTAATTCAAGTAAAAGTATGTAAAGCGAGCTGCGCAGACACAGCTTAACCGGCGGGATCCACAGACGCCTGAGAACGTGATGTATATAAAAAGTTAGGATTGTCAGGGGGTCCTGCATAGCCGATTTAGAAGCACCGCGCGGCGCTAGTTTCTGTTAGGGTGCTTTTGTTTCAACTCGGCACTAGGTTCCGGAACATATTCAACTACAACGCTCTCTTCCATGATCAACAAGTGCTTAAGCTCCATGCAGCTGAAATGGCTTGCAACGTTGGCCAAACGCATCACGCAGCTACGATCTGCTGTAATTTATCGTCTCGCCGCGAGTTGCGGCAGCCTGCACTTCAACACCTGCGAACATGCTACCGATCAACACTGGTCTATCCCACCCGCCCCAAACCTGCATATCAAGGATGTCCCTTCAAGCGCTCGGAACATAATCTTACCGGCGACACCCATCATCAAATACACTCATGGTCAGTTTCTGCGCTTTTTCGCTTCCTGGCGAGTGTTCTCTCATTGCACTATATTATTAGGCAATATTTACAAATCCTGCGTTAAAAATCACCAACAAGCAACCTTTCGCAACCGGCTACAAGGCTGATATCATACTCGCAGAGTTGGACGATGGGTTGAACCGCAAAGAGAAGGTGCGTTTCTTTAAACAAGCATATATGCAGCGTCGTGAAAATCAGATTTATCTTCTTCAGGTGGTCGTCAAAGTCCTGCGTGTGACGCTAGACAACGTAGCTGCGAGAAACGAGCTGAGGGCTGTGAGCAACATCCGACTGGTATATATGCCGCTCCGTGTTGCCATGCTCACCAGAATATGCGTAGAACCTTGAAGCTCGGATGGGACATTGGGCTTCTCTTGAACATCCTAACCTAGTAAAATTTCTTGGTCTCAGTTATGAACATCCCTTCCCCGCCGGACTCGTGTCTCCTTTCTTCGCCAATGGGAATGCAAATGATTACCTCGAGCGTTTCAAAGGGAAACATCCCGAAGAGCCTGCATTGGTTGCAGATAAAATGTTGCAAGTGGTATTGTCATCAATTGTCTGATGTGTTTTCTCGGGTGCTAACGACTTTCATGCATGTAGATCCAGGGCGCTGCACATGGCCTTCGTCACCTGCATACCCGGTCACCTGTGATTATTCATGGGGCAGTTCGCGCAGTGCGTTATTTTTGCTTTTACTCAGCTTTACCTACGGCATCTGAAACGTTTCGCTGTTTATGTAGTGCAACATTCTTATCGACGAAACAGAATCCCCGCGCCTTGTCGATTTCGGTTTGATGGCCGCGCTGGACAGTGTTCTCACCAACTTCACAACCGCTGATTTTGTCGGCCCTGTCCGCTGGTAC